ATTTATACTAATATACTTGAACATTACTGTTGAAAATATAAATATATCTCCTATTAAGAAAATAATTTATACTAATATACTTGAACATTACTATTTACATGAAAGCATAGTTTTCAAAACATCCTTGAATTGTCAACTAAACTTGAAACTTAAAAGGGGGGAAATATACAAAACCAGGGCATGACTGCCTGGCAAAGGCCATCGTGAATTCTCAACCAATAACATCACACAGAATCATGGATAATGTCATAGCCTCAGTAATAATGACTTTTATAAATCAAGTCGAGTTCAGAAAATTTTACTAAAATGTAATAGTGGATACCCATCTCATAATTTATCTCATGCACGAGATAATGAAAGCGCTTTCACTTGATTGGTGCTTTTGAACAAAACGATAGGGAAGTTTTCCTTCAGGGACCAAGCATGAAAATCTAAAGAACTAAATGTGGACAGTACTAAGAATAACTATAAGTAAAAATATCAAAATAAATTTGAAATCAGTAAACATATGCAAAATAACAGGAAACTATAAGAATTAGTAATTTACGCCTGCACATATAGAGTACACGTATGAACTTGAACTTAATCAAAAGCAGATGTTCTAAACAGATACTAAAACAGGTACTGGCCAAGGATCATGAATTATATAGTCGATAATTAGATAGGAACAAGGAAATAAAGAGAATACAAATTGGATATAAACTTCAACCTATTTAAAGCTCTTGCCATCAAACTTTCATAGAGTGAACAGAAATTGTTTGCCTTGTGTATTACTATTTTCTCTCTAACAATTAAAGAATTAAGATAAAGATTAAATAAAAAATAATTATTTATTAGATGTGTAGTCGTACCATAAAAAGTCTTGGATGTAATCAAATCGAAATTACTTCCAAGAATATGCATGTCATAAATAGATTTGAGAATTCATAGATCAATCGTTCATGAATCAAGGAGCAAGATACACAACAAATTGTAATTGTGAATAATATGATTGGATGAACTTCTAGCAAAGGAATCATAAAGGAATTGAGATTAGAATGAACTAGGGATGAAAATGAACTAAATAATTAACAAATAGTTCGATAATTGTTCGAGTAACTTTTCAATCATATTCGATTCGGTAGTTCATTTGCCACTAAACAAATATTTTTTGGTATTCGAGATTACTAATGAATAGAATTTAACCAGGTGTATATTTGATTTGTTTGTCTATCAAATATTCGTTTAAAATTATATCACTTATTATTTGAATTATTACACATATGATGTCATATTTTTAACCTATTACCATTTATACTTAAGTTTTATATACTGATTTTAAGACTTAAATAATCTTAAATCTATTTTCAAATAAAATTTTTGATTTAAATATACATACATTATATATTATAAAGGAATAATTTTTATTTATGAATTTAAATACCATTTGAAAATCAAATTATTTAGCGGAATAAATATATTTTGATATTCGAAAAGTATTCGTTAATATTCATGAAGATTTATCAAATACCAAGCATTCGAGTTCAAATTCGAAAAACTCCATATATGAATATTAGAGTCTGTATTCGAATTCGGTAATTTTAAACAAATACAAATACGAACACCTTATTATTCGATTTGATTCGATCATTTACTACCCCTGGAATGAACTACGAATAAACAAGACCAAAAAGAGAAGTGGACACTTGCATCTATTGCTAATCAAAAGATGAAACCCTCCGCTAATTAGTCTCCTCCTCCTCCTCCTCTAGGCTGTAGAGACTCATATCTCTATTTTTTTTTTTCTTCCTTTTTTCCCTGTTCCGGTGAAAAATATGAGGGAGAGGGATAATGGGATTAGTTTTTAAAGAGATAGGTTTGTTAAGATTCCCTTAGATTTAGTGATTTTAGTGATCATGGATATAGTGGTTCAAATATTTTTTTAGCATAAGGATTTTAACTAAATGGCCTTTTTGGGCTTAACTTTAATTGGACTAAATACCAAATGATCAAAGAATCATTTGCATATTAAATCTCAGCCTTACTTTGCATTGAAAATACTGGCCATCAGAAGAAAAAAAAGGGTTAATTGTATATTAGTTCCTTAAATCATACTTAATTTCCAAATTGTCCCTCAAATCTCATTGTTATTTATTAATCCTCTAAATCTTCAGTTTTCCTCAATGTGGTCGTTCTGTTAGAAAATCTGTTTACTCCTCTAACTCTAGTTGAGTTAAGCATTAATCCAACCCTCAAGTTTACCTTTTGTTCCTGAGGATGAAGAGAAATTAATTATATTAGAAAACTTTGAATATTATATAGCGTTATAGAAGGAAGCTAGCCGTTGGATCACCTGAATTTGGGTTTGGGGAAGTAGGAAAGTTGGAGAAGACCAGAGCGGGTTTGGTGTGTGAAAGTAGGGAAAGTTGAAGAAGAAAGAGGGTGGGTCTGTGTGATAGATTGGATAGCCTTCTCATCAAAGGATCAGCGGTGTTCACCTATCGCTGGTGCCTACAGTGTTCACCTACCCCAAATAGTGTTCACCAACCCTAGGGCCGGCTGAAGGCATACGCCACAAAGGCATATGCCTAGGGCCCCATTTTAATGGGGCCCCAAAAATTATATTCTCTTCTCTCTCTCTCTCTATATATATATATATATATATATATATATATATGGAGAGATTCTAATAAAACCTCTTAGCCAAAAAACTAAAAACCAATATCATCCATTGGATCTAGATGAATCCAATGGCTGGGAGTCAGTCAAACAGTCAACAGATACGTACATTAATTACATGCATTAATTACCTCAACGAACACAAATTTGTATTCACTGTAGTGAATCTGGATTCACTGGAGTGAATTTGGATTCACTGCAGTGAAAAACGTGTTCGTTGAGGTAATGAATCGGGATTCAATGCAGTGAATCTGGATTCACTGCAGTGAAAAACGTGTCCGTTGAGGTAATGAATCTGGATTCACTGTAGTGAATCTGGATTCACTGCAGTGAAGGACGTGTTCGTTGAGGTAATGAATCTGGATTCACTGCGTTGAGGTAATTAATGCATGTGTTTAATGAGGTAATTAATGCATGTGTCTGTTGACTGTTTGACTGAGTTCTAGCCATTGGATGATATTGGTTTTTAGTTTTTAGGCTAAGGAGGTTTTTATTAGAACCTCTCCTAGCAAAAAGTTATCCACCAAACTTTTTAACCACTCATATTGCCTAGGAATCCTTGCATGATATGAAAAGGTTTTTATATTAATAAATGAGTGACTAGGAAGTTTGGTGGACATCAACTTAAGTTGATAGGAGTCTTACTCAATATAATTATTAATTTATTTTGGAAATATAAGAAGTTGACTATTGTTAGGATTCTAAATTATCTTTAATTGATCATTTATTGCTATAATTATCTTTATCTTTGGAAAAGGACACAAATAAAGTTTAATTATAACTTTTTATATTTTATTTCTATAATTAATTAGATTGTAACAGTAAAAAAAAGAGAAAACATATATTAAATACTCATTCTCGTTTATGCATTTTTTTTCTCTTGCTAACTTCATTTATTCTCTTCTCATTCACTCATATTTTCTCATTCACTCATCTTTTATATTTGTTTAATCTTTGATACTCAACATACATAATTGCAATTCTAATCGAGAAGGCCCCAAAATAAAAGGTAAGCATGTTGGTTTTTATTTATTTTAATAAATTTACATTCATTATATATATATATATATATATATCAACGATGTCTTAAGAAAAATTAAATAATTTGGCAATTATATCAATTGAAAAGGATTTGTTATCAAAGCTTGAATATAAAAATTTAATTATTAACTTTGCATCTCAAAAAGCCAGAAAATTAAATTTTATATAAAATCTATTTTTTTAAAACTAATATTTAACTTTTCAAAAAAATATTAAGGCCCCAAATATTTTTCTCAGCCTAAAGCCTCAAAATGCTTGAGGCTGTCCTGACCTACCCTCATGAGAAAACTTATAAATATCCCCCTAAGTTTAATTTGTAAGGTATCTCAGTAGCAGAGAGAAAAAGAGAAAGATACAGATATAAGTAATATCATTGAGAAATCTTGAGAGAGTGTGTGAGAATTCTTGGAGAATATCTTGATCAAGAGAGGGTGTTCTCTTTTATTTTTTTTTCTTTGTAACCTCGAAAGGAATATAAAGGAATTGGGCGTCGTCGTTGCACCGTGGAGTAGCTCCGTAAGAGTGAACCACATTATATCTGTGAGTATTGTGATTGAATTCGTGTTTGCTGGTTTTATTCTTTGATTCCAATATCGTTTAGATGTGTTTTGCGTCTCCGTTTGAAGCGTTCTTGTTGGTGTGTACCCTAAGAGTCTGGTTTTTAGAGGGGAACGGTTTTCGTGTTCAAACCTGTTATAAAACGGGTAGGTGGATCTATAATTGATAAAGTTATTATTATTGGGGGTATAACTGGTATTCTACCTAATTCTGTTACATTTAACCCTCATTATTAACACCACTTAACATATGGGGTGGACTCACAAGAAAACTAGAGATTTAAGGGACTACTGTGCAAATAATGTGGTTTGAGAGACTATTTGGCAATTAAGGACAATTTAAGGAACTGATATGCAATTAACCCTATGAGCCCAGGCCCCCTTCGGAGCCAGCTAAACTTGAGGAGTCACCGTTTCAGTTGACATTTTCTTTGATGATAGGGGTGAAAGTAAACCCTGGTAGAGGTCAAGGTAATGGAGGAGGAGCACTAGGAAAGTATAAACAGACGGGCATTTAAGAAGCACTTTTTCAACACTGAAACAAAGATGAAAAAGAGGAAATATGAAGATCGCAGTATGCAAGCAGATGTCAGACCTTTAGAGCTCTTTGGTTATGTAATCAAAACTAACCATAAACAGCATCCAACAAACAGAACACTAGAACTACTGTAGAATTAGAGTAACAATCTGCTAATGCACAAACAAACACACTAAATAAAGACCGAGAATAACACCTGACAGAGGTGAATTTAAAATAATTTTGACTCAGAGACTTTATTTTCTTGTCAACTTTAAAGCGAAAGCAGCGTCACAACAAACCACGGGTTGCTTGCAACCAGGAAAATACATGATTGTAATAGAAAACTTTCTAGAGTTCTACATGTTGGTTCCATGACTAAAAAAGCTCAAGACGATTCAGTTCCCAGTAAAATTTACAGAACTCAATCATCGTCTTCTTCCTCTTCAAAATCAGAATCCTCTGTCACAGGCTCCTCCTCTTCCTCCTCTGATGCACTCTCCACATACGTTACCTTTTTCCTGTTCTCCCTCTTCGGCAGGTTTCTTGTAACCTGAACCACATCACGCCCAGCTTCCAAGTTAACAGAAGATAAGGAACCAACTGAACCTTCACTCTCGGTCATCGACCCTCCTGCTCGACCCAATACAGAACCACTCTTCTTGTTGAAAGGAGACTCCCTCATCTTCCTCACTTTCTTCTCAGGTGATGCATTCTCTACAGGCTTCAACATGTCAGTGATAGCCTTTTGGCTCAAAAGAGATTTTCCTTTAGCTCCTCCGCCTCTCTTTCTTGCAGTTGTCATGGTAGTAGTACCTTTGGCTTTAGCATTTGCTGGTTTTCTTCCTGCTCCGCCTTTTTTCCCTTTAGGGGCAGCTTCCATCATCTCAAAATCTGCATCATCATCACCATCCTCAACAATGGTTGGCATCTCTTCAGCATTCATGTCATCATCATCATCTGATATAGTCAAGGTTGATTTAGGTTTCCTTGCAGCAGCTCTTTTATTTGCTTCTTTCTTTCCCACAGCTTCGGTTTCCATGGCTAAATGAACCAAAGGATACGTATAAGCACCCAAATCTCAGGAATTATTATCAATCACACATGTATAAAAGGAAAAAATATATTTACATGTTTGGTCTGGTGAAGAATCTAGGTTGTATGCAGCCAACCGATCTTTTAGCTCAAGCACTTCATCATCATCACTATCAACTACAGTAGCCTGGATAGATTGAGACACAGCAGATTAGAACAAAGCATATGTACATGTATGAACTTAACATCAAGGCAATCAAATTTAATCAACAGGCAGACCTTCTTAGCTGGAGCTTTCTTCTGACCACCTCGAGGTTTGGGTTTTGCAACTTCAGTTACATTACCTAAACAAAGCAAGACCCTTAGACAATATGTAAACAACCAATATAACCTTCAAAAAAATTATTTTAGGTAATAAATAGTCACCAGCTTCTGTTGCAGTAGATGTTGAACCAACAGTTGCACCGGTTTCTGTAGCTGCTATGCTCTTTGTAGTGTTATTCTTTTTCAGTGGTTTCGGTGCTTTTCTTGAAACTGCAGCACCCTTATTGATCTTCGCTCTCATCTCTTGCCGTGTTTTCGCTGCCACTGCATCTTGTTGGTCATGTTCCTGTACGCAGAGAAAGTGCGGAATGAATGGAGAGGAAAGGTGAATCATGAAAAGAAAACTAAACATTAGTAGAACATACATCTAGCTGCGCTTCTAGAGCATCAAGATCTCTCATCCACAAGGCCCTAGGTGAGGTGCTTCTCAACATCTCAAGCTCATGTTCTAGTCTTTCCTTATCTGCACAGAGCGCTTGAACTTTTTCCAGAGTCAATGTTCCTATTGCCAAGGATAGCAAGTACTCATAATCGCTTGCTTTTACTGCCCCCTTAACCATCTCTGGACTCTCTTCCTCGTTTTCCTCGGTCTCTACGGTGGCTCCCGCAATGGCAGCATCAATGCCTTTTGTCTTTTTTGGGAAAGGAGTAAATCCCTTCTGATGCAGTTCTAGGAACAAGTCCACTCTCTTCCGGTTATTGACAATTATCTCTCCTCTAACAACACCGAGAATGAATCTGACTTTGTTGTCCAGCTTCAAAAGGTCGAACTCAAGGTTGTCCAGCAAAATTTTCTGTGTAATTAGCACAAAACAAAAGTTTCACACTTCGTGTAAATAAAAATTCACTTTGCACAAACTTTTTTGAAGCAACTGCAAAGAGCATACCCTTCTTTTCTCATAGAACTCTAGCCGCAAATGGAAAAAGTCTTCAAGGACTGCAAAGAAAATCCGTATGAAATGTCTGGAAAAAAGAGGCAAGTAGATAAAATCTACACAATCATCTATCACACAAAACTCACTCTGTTCTGGCGTATCATATTTCTTTATAACACCGCTGGGGTCAAACAAGTGCATGTTGGTTGTACTAATCGTATTCGTGAGCTTAAACTTCTTCTCAAGACCTTCTTGCTTCGCAACTTCCATATTCTGCTCCGAGAGCATAATTTCAAAATGCACAGTTGTGTCATCATTGTATGCTTTTTTATCCTGAGAAATATCAAAGAAGAAGAAGAATCAGATTTTTTTTAAATGCAGCATAAGGCCAGAATTACATGGAAAGAAACAGCCTTCTTTCACCTTACCTGGATAAATGGTTCCTTGAATTTATCAGTACCATTCATCATGGCTTCAAGAAACTCGTTATATTCCAATGTCCAACTGCGAATTGGCAGCTCGGTGATTCTCAAAGTACTGCTATCAACCTCCTCTATAATACCTGAGATTGTGTAGGTGACACCAGTTTCCTTTTCTGCTGATTTCCAAATTATACCCTGGTTGAAAAATCAGCATGCATTTTAGTTATATTTATGCAAAATCTCCAAGCAACAAGGACGAAGTTCACAAAATCAGACCTGGAAACCCCGGTACCATGGATCCATTGGCTGCATAGGTTCATCATTCAGCAACCGTCTTACGTTTGCAATGACATCTCTTGGATTGTAATTAGGAACATAGGAGCTCCAGCCAGTCCCAATGCCTTCACTTCCGTTGATTAACACCATAGGTATTATGGGTACGTACCTGACATAATAAGAGTGTAAATAAACACATAAAGTTTAAAAATGTCATAAGTCACAGTGTCGAGGTTAACGAGTATTTGCCAATTACCATGAGGGTTCAATTGATTGCCCATCCTCATCCAAGTAGTCAAGAAGAAGGTCATCATCTTTAGGAAATAAGTATCGAGTTATGGGCGACAAACAGGTGTATATGTACCTGCCGCTAGCAGCATCCTTGCCTCCCTAAGTTGAAAAAAAAATTGTATACATAAGCCAATGAAAAACAATATGCAAGAGGAAAACAAAGAGTTCAGATTAACTTACTCTATTTCTGGTGCCAAATTGTCCGTTTGGTTGAAATAGGTTGATGTTGTTACTCCCCACAAAATCTTGGGCCATTCCAACTATAGTGCTGACAAGACTTTGCTCACCATGATGATATGCCGAATGCTCTGAAACATAACCAGAGAATTGGGCCACCTGCAAGGAAGAGAAAGTCAAGCAGAGAAAGGATATAAGTCTAATAATCTTAAGACTAAAGTGCACAGAAAAAGGAAACAGACCTTAGCTTCCTTGACAAAATTGCGCTTGAAAGCACAGAACAGTATCTTTCTTTGCCCTGGTTTAAGTCCATCGACCATGGATGGTATTGACCGCTGCAAATCTGCCCTGGAGAATAGTATAAGCTCCTTGTTAACAAAATCACTGTATGTGATTTTCTCTCCCTCTTGATCGAGATAAGTACCAGGCTGCAAAGCATTCAAAACCAGTCACTGTAAGCAAAAGCAGAATTTGAAGTGTAACTTAACCAGCCAAAAATACTTAAGTGAATCCCTGAGTTAACCCCAATCCAACCTCACAGCTCCAGTGCAGTTTAAGGGGATAATAAATGCAAAACTGATTTTTTAGTATTGCAGAGAACCCCCTTCACTTTGCCACCCCAGAGTTCATAAAAGGAAAGCTCAAGGTAAAGCTGAGGGTACATGTAGCAGTGTTCTTTAGTAATTACTACCAGAAACAACTGTAATTACCTCAAACTGGCGGAGCCAATTTTTTCTTGCCTCAATCTTTTTCTTGCTGAATGCTAGCTCAATAGCTTCTCCATCTTGGTCGTCAGACCAAATGAAACTTTTCTTGTGCTTCCTTATCTGACGGAAATATTCTTTTCCTTCCTTGGATGTGCTTGTTCCCAGCCCCTAGAAATAGAAAAACATTGCCATGAAACTCAGTAAGCTTAAGTAGCATTACTGCATACTGATAGACAATACTCAACAGTTAGAAACCAATTAGAAACCTATCACATTGATTTTCGAGTAGCATACCTTATAATATTTTATAGTCCAGCCACTAGCATTTCCATTCAAACTTTCCTTCCATGCTTCATATTCAGGCATGCTGTAAAAGGATAATACCTCCCCATTCTTACGACTTGCCTGCACAGCTTTTAAATTAAATTAACTTGTCCAATGATTCAGCAAGTAGATGATCACCCAGAAGTCCACCAGATGCCTACCTTCACAATTGGAGTGATAAATTCTTCCATGAACCCATTAATTTTAAGTAGTGACGGCCAAAACGAATGAATAAAATTAATCAGGAGCCCCTTAATGTGGGAACCATCATGATCCTGTATAAGCAAAGCAGTTGCCCTCAACAACTGGCCAAAGTTTTGGTCCTTTTTGAACTTCCAGATAAAAGCAAGAACAAAGATTAGTTTATAAGCCAAACCTGATCAGTCATAATCATGAGATGACCGTATCTTAAGCCCTTAACAGAGTCATACTTCTTGTCTTGCTGCAAACCAAGGATTTGCTTCAGGTGCTGAATCTCATCATTCTGCATTATCTGCTTGAGGCTTGCTTCTCGGACATTCAGCAGTTTTCCTTTCAGTGGGAAGACACCATAGTGATCCCTACCTACTTCTGAGACACCAGCCACCTAGATAAACACAAGACCCAGACATTATGACTCATAATCTACAAACAGTAATAACACATGAAGATAATATGGTAAAAAGCAATCACCGCGAGAGCCTTAGCTGAATCCCCTTCTGTAAGAATTAATGTGCATTTTTCAGAATTTTTGCCACCAGCATCGTTAGCATCGTCAAGTTTAGGTATGCCCGTAATCTTTTGCCTCTTGGCACCATCAGTTTTCTTCAACTCCTTACTCTGTTTGAAATCAGCCCACGAGAGAAGAGTTTCCACAATTCCTGATTTATCCACTGCAAGGAAAACAATATTCAGCTTATGCATTCAACATTAAATTGAGAGCTGTAGATGAATGAAGAATTAACACCAACCCTTTTTAAGAAACGCTTGAGAGAGCTCGCACTTGGATCCAAAGCTTCCTTGACGAGTAGTCAATGTCTCTTTTGTTTGTGAATCAAAGGCAGGATTGTCAATGAGTGCATTGACAAACACCCATAGATGATTTTTGACATTGTGGGCTTTAAGGTTTGCATTCTTGTTCTTTTTGTTCACAACAGCCATAACATGATTAGCGATTTGACTAGTAACATAATCCACGTGTGTTCCTCCTTTTATCGTGCTGATCCCATTGACAAAGCTGACCTGATGAAATGAGAAGAATAAATTGGATAAGTCTGACAGGAACTTAAGGAAAGAAGCAGCAGGTTAAAGCCAAAAATGAGGGAATTTCATCAATACCTGCTGGAATTGCCCTTCACTTAAACTGACGTAAACTTCCCATCTGTCATTAACTTTCTCTCCAATACTGTAACAACAATAATTAATTATTAAGCCCTGTGTTACACATAATCAAAATCTCGAAACGCAAGAGACTAATTCATCTTTAAACCTTGGGAGGGGCTCATTTCTGCCTTTACTTGCAGATTTGAGGTATAAATTCACATAATCAGAGAAAACCTTGACAGGCAATCGCTGTCCATTCAATTCCACCTTGACACTTTTGCCTAGAGTTCCAGCAATGTCGACCACTCTCTTTTTCATGAGAGCAACCACGTCATCTTCCAGATGAGTCATGTTAAACTTGGCAAGATCTGGCTTGAACGAAACCTTTGTCCAGTTCTCTCCGTCCTTGCATTTGGTGATAGTGGGCTCGGACTTCTTCCCCATGTTTTCTGTGAAAACCTACATCCAAGAATTTTCAATGAACAAAGATCAATTATCCAATGTTCACAGGTTTGAAAATCTAAATACTCAGGTAAATAATTGACCATCAGAACATTGATAACCAGGCCAATCGAACAACTAAATGTTACATAAATGACAAGATGCACTCTAAAAAGACTAACATAACATAGCGTGTAAAAGGCTACCATCAAAGGCAACGATTCTGACTACCCAGGATACAAGATTATATTTGTATGAATACACAGCTAAAAGAAAAATAAAGATCATTACAAACATGCAATTCAAATTTAATCTAGTTTTAATTCGACAATGATACAAACAGCAGTAATTCTATAAGTACAATTCAAAATTCAACTAGCAAAAATGCAGATCTTAAAGCCCTATCCCACTTTATTTACATCCTAGTTTGGCATGGAAACATGAAAAAGAAAAACCTCTTAACAAATTCTAGAAAAAAACATGATAGAATTTAAACAATCAGCTGCCCAAGTTTAAATAGCAGAACAACACATGATCAAATATCCTACGCATACTACTTAAAATACGCAAACCATTAACTATCTTTTTTAGGTTTCACCTGGAATAAATTATAGAAAATTAGCTTCATTCCTGGCTTGCTGGTTTCATCTGACACCGTGGACAACCATGTGAGCATCACAATGTTGAACTATGTGGTTGTACATCGGATTCTATTTGATCTATGTACGTGGGTGTATAGAGATTTCATAACCTTCTTTTAATTTTAAAGCCTGATTTTGAGGTTGAAGCGTAGTAGATCGGTAGTATAGCTCAAAGGGCCAAAACCATAATTGAGCTACCTTGATAACAAATCTATAAATACCAAAATGAAACAACACGCAAAGACCTAAACCCAACTCTAACCAAGACAAGGATATCAAAAACCCAATTCTTAGAACTCCAAAAATAAACCCAATTCCAGTGAGGCTAATCAGATCAAGAAGCATCAAATATCACAAACATAAACCCTAGTTCACGATAAAGTTAATAATCCCTGTTTCAAGAGACCCTAAACCGCAATCCAAATCAAGAAACGATCTTTACCTGCTTATACTTCTTCTGCCGCTTCCCATCAGCCGTCTGAATCACGAACTCCGTCGAAAAGATATTGGTCAGCTTCGCTCCGTAGCCGTTCCTCCCTCCAGTCGTCTTCTTGACATTGTCATCGTAATTACTACTCGTCAACAGATGCCCAAAGATCATCTCAGGGACATAAACCCCCTCCTCCTGATGAATCTCAACAGGAACCCCGTCTCCATTATTATAAACACTGATAAGATTCTGCTCAGGATCGATATCGACCTTAACCGTATCCATCGATGGATCTCGCTGCTTGTTGTCAGCAGCGTTCACGAGGATCTCATCGAAGATCTTGTACAGTCCGGGGACGTATGAGACGGGACGGTGGACCATCTCGCCGTTCTCGTAGACCCACAGATTCGCCGTGTGCTTCTCGACGGAGCCGATGTAGGTATCGGGGCGAAGGAGGATGTGCTCCAGCTGCGTCTTTTTTCTGAATAGAACCTCCCTCGATCGTCTTCTTTCCGCCGCCTGCGGCGCGCGAGGCGGCACGCAGTTTGTGCGGCCGCTGTGCTCGACTGGAGTGGCAGCCTTGCGTGGCCATGCGCCCGGCGTTCGGAGAGGGTGATGGGGACACTGAGGTTGTGTCGATGTGAGAGAAAGTGAGGAGGATGAGGGATTTTTTAAGGGGAGTTAACGGTAAGAGATTTGAAATTTGAAAGCTAGGGTTTGGGCGGGATTTTGAATTAGGAGGAGGAGAGAATGAGAGAGGGGTAAAATGGTAAACTGAAGCTTGAGAGTGCAGAGAGGGGGCAGGGGGAGTGTAGTAAAGTGAAGGAACCTAGAAGATTCTGTGGGATTGGACGACTGAGATTTACCGGGTTTTCGAATTTGAAATGCCTGGGAGAGAGCACGTGAGAGGCTGCAAAGAGGTCGGGGAAAGGAAATACTACTGGAGGCCTTTTGATGGGAAAATTTGCAAAACAGTCCTTTTTTGCTAATTATTTAACAAAATAGATCGTTTTATTAAATAATTAGCAAAATAAACCTCTTTTTAAAAAAAGAGGTCGATTTTAAAAAACAAGACTCAGAAAACATACGGGACTACTAGTCCCGTATGTTTAGAGCCAACTTAATCACGGATTAGTGACTCAGAAAACATACGAGACTAGTAGTCCCGTATGTTTTCTGAGTTCATCTCAATGTTTTGTGAAATTTTCTGAATTCACTAATCCGCGATTAAAATATACGGGACTACTAGTCCCGTATGTTTTCTGAGCTGTTTTGCAAAATAGACCTCTTTTTGGCCTGTTTGCCAAAAAGAGATTTATTTTGCTAATTATTTAGCAAAATGGTCTATGTTGCTAAATAATTAGCAAAAATGGGCTATTTTGCAAATTATCCCCCTTTTTATTTGTGTTTGAATTTAAAAGACGGCCTTACCCCCGAAGTTTTTAACAAATCTCAGAAGTGGCCGTCCGAGAACGTTCGCCCGCGTCGGGGCATTTCGTCATCTCGAGAATTTTTTGGGGAAAGACTTTTTATTGATGAAATGAAATCAATGGGTAGAACTAGAACCGCAAGCAAAAAAAAAGGGAAAAATGCTTCCAGCCCCCAAAAGCTAAGGAAACGTGCTTCCCACCCCCCAAGACTTTGTCAACGGGTGTTTTACCCCCAAAAATAAAGATTCTGTTCTCTGAGCCCCCAGAACACAAAACCCAAGACATTAAAATATGTGAAGACCATAATACCCTTCTCTCTCTCTTTATTTTTTTATTAAAATATGATGAGTATTAGTTTATTATTTTTGTTTTCTCTCTCTCTCTTTATCATGAAGTATTGAGATGATAGTTGAAATGATTGATGAGGATTATTTTATTATTTTTGTTTTTTATTATTTTGGTTATTTGTATTGGAAAATTGTTAAAGTTACGGGTTAATTATTAAGGTTGCGAATTAATTGTTAATGTTACGGGTCAATTGTTAAGGTTATGAATCCTCTCTCTCTCTCTCTCTCTCTCTCTCTCTCTCTCTCTCTTTCTTTTTTTATTAAAATATGATGAGGATTATTTTATTATTTTTGTTTTCTATCTCTCTTTATCATGATGTACTAAGATGATAGTTGAAATGATTGATGAGGATTATTTTATTTTTTTTATTTTTTATTATTTTGGTTGTTTGTATTGGGAGACTGTTAAAGTTACGGGTTAATTGTTAAGGTTACGAATTAATTGTTAATGTTACGGGTCAATTGTTAATGTTATGAATCCTCTCTCTCTCTCTCTCTCTCTCTCTCTCTCTCTATCATGATGTTTCTTTGATGATATTGAAATGATTAAAGAGAATTATTATTTTATTATTTTTGTTTTTTTATTTTTTTTGTATTTTTAGAATATTTGTTGTTAAGGATAATGGTTGGTTGTAAAGGTTATGCATTAATTGTTAAGGTTATGGGTTGGTTGTTAAGGTTACGGGTTTATTGTTAAGGTTATGGGTTTGTTGTGTAGGAAGGTTACGGGTTTATTGTTAAGGTTATGGGTTTGTTGTGTAGGTTACGGATTTGTTGTTAAGGTTACGGGCTTAATTGTTAAGTGTAGGTTACGGATTTGTTGTTAAGGTTACGGGCTTAATTGTTAAGGTTACGGGTTTAATTGTTAAGGTTGCGGGTTTAATTGTTAAGGTTACGTGTTTAATTGTTAAGGTTAAGGGTTTAATTGTTACGGTTACGGTTTATTAATTGTTAATGTTATGGTTTAATTGTTAAGGTTACGGGTTTAATTAAGGTTATGAGTTTAATTGTTAAGGTTACGGGTTTAATTGTTAAGGTTACGGGTTTAATTGTTAAGGTTACGGGTCAATTGTTAAGGTTATGGATCCCTTCTCTCTCTCCCTCGTAACCTTAACAATTAAACCCGTAACCTTAACAATTAAACCGTAACATTAACAATTAAACCGGTAACCTTAATAATTAAACCCATAACCTTAACAATTAAACCGTAACCTTAATAATTAAACCGTAACCTTAACAATTAAACCCGTAACCTTAACAATTAAAACCGTAACCGTAATAATTAAACCCATAACCTTAACAATTAAAACCGTAACCTTAATAATTAAACCCGAAACCTTAACAATTAAACCCGTAACCTTAACAATTAAACTGTAACCTTAACAATTAATAAACCGTAACCTTAACAATTAAACCCGTAACCTTAACAATTAAACACGTAACCTTAACAATTAAACCTGTAACATTAACAATTAAACCCGTAACTTTAATAAACCGTAACCTTAACAATTAAACCCGTAACCTTAACAATTAAATACGTAACCTTAACAATTAAATCCGTAACCTTAACAATTAAACTCGTAACCTTAACAATTAAACCCGTAACCTTAACAACAAATCCGTAACCTACACAACAAACCCATAACCTTAACAATTAAACCTGTAACATTAATAATTAAGCTCGTAACCTTAACAACAAATCCGTAACCTACACAACAAACCCATAACCTTAACAACAAACCTTTAACCTTAACAACCAATCCGTAACATTAACAATCAATGCATAACCTTTACAACCAACCATTATCCTTAACAACGAATATTCTAAAAATAAAAAAAAGAATAAAAACGAAAATAATAAAATAGCAATCCTCTTTAATCATTTCAATATCATCAAAGAAACATCATGATAGAGAGAGAGAGAGAGAGAGAGAGAGGATTCATAACCTTAACAATTGACCCGTAACATTAACAATTAATTCGTAACTTTAACAATTAACCCTTAACTTTAACAATCTCCTAATACAAGCAACCAAAATAATAAAAAATAAAAATAATAAAATAATCATCATCAATCATTTCAACTATCATTTTAGTATATCATGATAAAGAGAGAGAGAAAACAAAAATAATAAAATAATCATCATCATATTTTAATAAAAAAAAGGAGAGAGAGAGAGAGGATTCATAACCTTAACAATTGACCCGTAACATTAACAATTAATTCGAAACCTTAACAATTAACCCGTAACTTTAACAATCTCGCAATACAAACAACATAAATAATAAAAAACGAAAATAATAAAATAATCATCATCAATCATTTCAACTATCATCTCAATACTTCATGATAAAGAGAGAGAGAAAACGAAAATAATAAAATAATCCTCATCATATTTTAATAAAAAAAGAAAGAGAGAGAGAAGGGTATTATGGTCTTCACATATTTTAATGTCTTGGGTTTTGTGTTTTGGGGGTTCAGAGAACAGAATCTTTATTTTTGGGGGTAAAACACCCGTTGACAAAGTCTTGGGGGTGGGAAGCACGTTTCCTTAGCTTTTGGGGGCTGGAAGCATTTTTCCAAAAAAAAAAAACTCGGCGTCTTTCTCCCACCCACTGACCACATTGAATAGGCCAGCCGCCAGCCATCCTATGTGCTACAAAATTCCTCTTCAGCTATTCAGCCCTCTCAACGATTCCTCTAAAGCTGCCTGGTGACTCATTCGAATTGTAAAGCTCACCGATGCATCAAGTTCCCCTCTAAACTTCGCGCGGATGCACCGACTGTGTGTGTTCTCTAGGCATGTTTAATCTCCTGAGCAAGTTGATACTCTGATAGCGAGTTTGTGGTCAAGAGACATAAGCTATATTTTTCGTAGCTCGACTCCTTAATCATCCTCACTTGGTTTCTATTATGTCATATATATAAGCTCCAAAGAGTATTAAAGAGCGATGTATTGTGGTTATTCAACCATAGCTTATATCCCTATATGTTACTGTGTTAACTTTAGTTTATGATACATCAATCACTAGTAGAAACACGAGCAATCTAGACGGAAATTTCCGTCTAGATTGCTCGTGTTTCCGTCTAGGTTGGTTCACCTAGACGGAAATCCGTCTAGTTTGTTCCGTCTAGTATATTTCCGTCTCAGTTGGAACAAACTAGACGGAATTCCGTCTAGGTTGACAACCTAGACGGAAAGCAACCTAGACGGAAGTAAGAAATCCGTCTAGGTTGCAACCTAGACGGAAATCCGTCTAGGTTAGCAACCTAGACGGAATTCCGTCTAGGTTGATACAAACTAGACGGAAATCCGTCTAGGTTGCTACTGTTGCAACAGTAGCAACCTAGATGGATTTCTGTCTAGGTTGTATCAACCTAGACGAAATTTCGTCTAGGTTGATCAGCTACAGTTTTTTTTTTTTTTTTTTTTTTTTTTGCAGAATCTACGTTGCATGCTATATGATATCACATGTACACAATATTGTACAATAATAAATCATATTCATATCCAACACAATTGATCTAATTATATTTCAATATCAAATATAATTATATTCAAATAATACATTCACCAAAAAACTAGAAAGATACATAAAATTTTTACATAGATTATAAAGAATACAATTGTTTACATAACTTGATGAACTTTGCATAATTTATAGAATCCAATTGCATTTACTCCTCCAATTTGTTGAAGCATCATGTTTCCTCCTCCTTGATCCTACATTATACAAGATTCAACATCAATTAGTCCATGCCTGAAATACACTTAGAAAGCATTAACTTTGCAAAAGAACTAATAGGGAAATCA